ACTGGGATGATAAACTCGGTGAAGCACTCTGGGCTTATCGCACCACCATACGCACACCTACAGGAGCTACCCCATATTCGTTGGTATACGGATGTGAAGCTGTGCTACCATTGGAGATTCAAATCCTATCCCTTCGGATCGCCCTCGCAACTGAGATGACGACAGAAGAACAACATCAAAAACATCTCGAAGAACTCGAAAGGTTGGATGAAAAGCGCTTGGAAGCTCAACAACAAATTGAGTTTTATCAAGCCCAAATATCTAGGGCCTTTAACAAAAAATCCGACAGAGAAGCTTCAAGGAAGGAGATCTGGTCCTCGCTGCTCGCCGACCAATAATCCTCACCTCCAGCTTCAAGGAAGGAGATCTGGTCCTCGCTGCTCGCCGACCAATAATCCTCACCTCCAAGAAGAAAGGTAATTTCGAACCCAAATGGGAAGGACCGTTTATAATAGACACAGTCTATTCAAACGGCGCATATCGCCTGATTACTCAAGAAGGCGCCAGGCAATTAATGCCAATAAATGGGAAGTTCCTGAAAAAGTACTATCCCTAGTACGTTCAAGATAACCCATTTACCGGGAAGTTCCTTGAAGAATATTACACTTAATATTCTAGAGGATAACCCAAAATCTTTTTCACCACCAAAATCCCTCGCTGATCAATTTTAATTGACAGTGAGTCCACCAAAAATGTCTTTCTGGCCCTCTTGACTCTTTTCATGAACAAGAGGCCCACCTTCAGTTCGGAGTCCCCTTTCGATAAACGAAAGAACTCCATTCTTTTTCTCTTCGGTTAAGCCTCCTCATGGTTATAACCGACGTTGAAAGTCCACTTCGATAAACGAAGAACTCTTTTTTCAGTTTAGATAACCAATCCTATAAAAGGCAAGTTCATCTAGATTTTCCAGATTCTCGGAGTGGAGATCCCACTTCTAGTTTCTTCTGCGATGGAAATAGAATATAAAATTCTTCCTTTCCAGAATCAAGGAATAGAATATAAAATTCTTCCTTCCTTGTTTTCGGGTTTGCCTTCACCCTAAAAGAAGACCGGGAAATAGGATAAAATTCTTCCTTCCCCATACCAATCCTTTTCGAAGAATTCAGGATTCATCCTAGGAAGTTTATCCCGAATCCTAAGCAGGGATAAGTCTGCGCCTAACACGCGCTGCCGGTTTAGTCTTTTTTCTGCACAAAAAGACACCAGAGTTCGATTCTGGGGTATTCTATCCTGAAACCTAAGCAAGGATAAGTCTGCGCTTAACCCGCGCTGCCGGTTAGTTCTTAACCGTTAAAAAGAACACCCGTCTACATATTCAACATTGTGACAGGTTGTTATTAATAACACCAAAATCCATGCCTTACACGCATGGGGAATTTCATCCTGAATCCTAAGAAAGGATATGCCGACGCCTAACACGCATCGCCGGTTTAGTCTTTCTCCGTAGAAAAAGACACCAGAGTTTGATTCTGGGGTATTTTATCCCGAAGCCTAAGTAGGGATAAGTCAGTGTCTAATACACGTTGTCGGGTAGCCTATTCCCGTGACAATGGCGAAGTCTACGTATTCGAAGTCGTAGAATCAAGTCTAAGGGAGTTCATTCCTTTAGCACAACGTCACATGTGGAACGGAATTAAAACAATCCGCATGTAAGCCCGACTCAAACGGTAGTCGGTAAGAGCACGTCAAATCCGTTGAAGGCTGGGGGTTAGCCAAAAACCCTAAAGTCAACGCCTAACACGCGTCGCCGGGTAGTCTATTCCCGTGAGAAAGACGAAGTCTACGTATTCGAAGTCGTAGCATCAAGTCTAAGGGAGTTCATTCCTTTAGCACAACGTCACATGCGGAACGGACTTAAGACAATCCGCATGTAAGCCCGATTCAAACGGTAATCGGTAAAAGCATGACAAATCCGTTGAGGGCTGAGGATTTGCCAAAAATCCTAAGTCAACGTCTGATACACGTTGCTGTTTAGTCTTTTCACAGGAGAAAGACGAAGTCTACGTATTCAATATCGTAGCACTAAAAGAGTTAACTCTTTTAGCATAACGTCACATGCGGAACGGACTTAAAACAATTCGCATGCTAGCCCGACTCAAACGGTAGTCGGTAAAGGCTCATCAAACCCGTTGAGGGCTGAGGGTTTGCCAAAAATCCTATAAATACGAGAGTCACTGACGCATCAGCTTCATTAGTTGGTCTCGTGACTTGAGCATCCAATGACATTCGAAACCCCAGGGTCAACGCCGGTCAACGCGTAACCCTAGGTCAACGCTATTCAACGCGTTGCGAACCAAAAAATCAGCGTACGATGTTTAAAACCCTAAGGTCAACGCCGGTCAATGCGTAACCCTAGGTCAACGCCAATCAATGCGTTGCGATGAAAGAATCATTACTCCGAAAAGTATACGAGTATAAACTGCTTCTTAATACTCCAATAAGGTATATGAGTATAAACTGTTCCCTATTTTTGGTTGAGAAGTTCCTGGAGAATATTTTTCTAAATATTCTTAAGGATAACTCAACAACACTACGCCAGACAACGCGTCGCAAATAAAGACTCAACGCCAACATTCGAGGGTCAGTTCTATTTTGAACCAACAAACATGAGCTAAAGATCATAAAATCAGGAATCGACTTCAAATTCGAAATTCCGATAACGGTCAGACAATAAATGCAGCACCGAAAACCTTACAGACATTCGACAAAGCACCGAATAGCCTGAAGGATTGAAGGAATCAAGAATAGAAGCCACTCCAAATATCCCGAAGGATGGGACAATCATATCCAAAGTATTCCAGACTCTTCTATAAAAGAACGATGCTGAAATACTTTGGAGGGGGTATCTGTAGGCGTATAAAATTGCTTATAGATCCCTTAGCATAGCTCAGCACAAACCGACGAACCAACGAGGCGACGAGGTTAACGAATCGTACGCAAGCAAATGAATACATCCATTCGCGTGTGGAATCAAGCTAAGGGTTCGAAGAGTCAACGAGTCATCCAACCAAAGGCAGACTCGGACGAATCACGATCGAATCAAGATCAGTTTCGGACTCGAACTCAGAAGTGGATTTACTGCCAAATCAGGAATCAGATTTACTGCCAAATCAGGAATAAGATTTACTACCAAATCAGGTCAACGATTCAAGTTCGGATAAATCAACCACAGAACTGGATCACGGACTGAACTGAAAACGAAAAACGACGAAAAACCACGCCTAAGGGGGGCTTGGCCAAGGCCGAGCCACCTATAGGTGGCTCGGCCAAAGCCGAGCCACCCGCCAAGGCCGAGCCACCTTGAGGTGGCTCGGTGTGTCGGCCACTTGTGCGCGGGCACAGTGAAGAGAGGCTATAAATAGGAGAGGTGGTTCATTTGTTCAAAGGTTAGAATTTTTGGAGGCGAAGCTCTGCTGGATTGAAGACTCAGATCTAAAAAAAAGATCCAAGCTTTGGGACTTCGAGGACTTGTTCTTCCAGATCTGGTGCTCGGCGATCGTCAACGCCAAATAAGGCAAGAGTTCGAGAGGACCGGATCTCAGATCTACGCAGGCGTACTCCGGATCAAAGCTTGGTCTTTGATCCCGAGAATTAAAGGCTACTATTTCCTTGGCGAAATAGTACCCTCGGCTATTATTTCCTTGGCGAAATAATACCCGTCATACTACGTAGATCCGATCGGATCTAGATCTCGCGGTGGTCCACGGATAAACCCCGGCGCAGGCGAAGAACCCACAAAGCGAGCGGCCGCAAAACAGGAGCTCGCGATTTGTTCGACAAAAGAGAAAAGTTGTAATTTTTATTTCCTTTTTTGATTTTCATTGTAACCGGATCTTATAAAAAGGCCAGATTTTTGTAATCGAAAAACAGTTACAAGAGTGCAATGAAATCAATGAAGAAAGACACGATTTTTCCCGCGAACAACAGCGAGCCCAGCGGTCGACCGCACCGGTCGACCGCCAAGCGGACAGAAACCCAACTCTGGGTTTTTGTCAGCTCAAAACCTGAAATAAAATTTGTATATTTCTACGATAATACAGATCTAATGTCTCTATAACTCATACTGTAGAAAAACAATGAATTTTAAGCATGTAAACTATATTCCCAACATTCTAAATACAAGAGAAACAAGATTTAAAACGTTTTGATAACAGTAAACATGATTTAACTCTTGTTTAAGAAAATTTCAGATCTAAATCTTTATTAAACAGAACATTGGTGAACTTTTATAAACTGAAACCTTTGATTCTTGCTAACCATATTATAGAGAGTTCATTTTTATACAAAAATACCATTTTGGCTCATCAAAACTCATAAAAACTCAAAAGAAAATCATAGAAAATAGGGGTGAGGGATTGGGCGAGATGATACTCGCCTTAGATGCTGACAAAAACCCTGAAGATGATCCTCCTTCGATCTAACCTGCGAAAACCCCCCTGAAAATCCTCCGAACTTCTCAAAATCGCCAGATCCAGCTAGGGTTTAGAGAGGAGAGAGATGGGGCTAGGGTTTTAGGTCTCAGATGAAGAGAGGCTCTCCTGGGTTGGATTAGTATGTATACACTCGATTTCTCTCACATAGAAACATTTGATGGGGTCTCAAACACAGATAATTACATTCATCTGATATATATATGTATATATATATATGATTATTTATCATAAGATAATTATTCACTATTAATAATTCACATATATTTATTATAGAAATTTTGGGGTTTTACAGCCTTCATCTGGGATAGCGAATATGGCGTTGCAAGGCTTACCCTTGGTCTTCCTCGAAGGCTTTGAAGTCCATTGCTCATCGTCGAGGAGGTCCGGATGGACCCACATCACTTGCCCCAATGACAAGGTTAGAGATACTAAACCTTTTCCTTGTTGATTGTGACAATCATCGTTAGTGATCGTCAGTATCGCTTTAGGGATAGGAACTACCCCCGCCTGCGCTTGAACCTCTGGGAGATCTTTTCCAAAACTCAGGGTGATCATATTGGTGGTCACCTATTTCTGTACCTTCTCCTTTTTCAGAACCCCCACATCGTATAGGGCTTGAAGCTTATCATTGAGGATATAGCATTTGGAGGTACGGTGACCGAGGAACCTGTGGTATGCACAGTAGTTCGGTTCACTGGTTATGTTCGCCTCTTCGGGCTTGGTTACTTCCGGTAGCTTAATCCTACTACTCTTTATGAGAGTGTCAAGGGTTGCCACCACTTGGTCCTCCCTGAAGTTGTATTGCCTCGGGGGATGTTGTTCAAACGGCCTAGGTTTCGGCCTCTTAGCTGGTTTGGGCGGCGGAGTAGAGTCAACGATCATGATCTCCTTTCCTCTCGTTCGAGAAGGATTCTTTGGTGCGCTCGGTTCGATAGCTTCCTTTTTGGAGTGAGGCTCCTCGGTCTCAAGCCTCTTAATCATATTCTCGACTTTCTTGCCCTGGCGAACGAGTTCTTTCCAGGTTCTAGTCTCTACCGCGACGACTTTGGATAGAATATGGATTGAAAGGTTATTGCAGCACATCTCAATCAATGTGGTTTCAGAGACTTGGTCTCGACAATGAACCGACCTATTCCTGAACCTCTTTACGAAGTCATTTACTGACTCCGACTTCCTTTGCTTCTTAGCAAGGAGGGTGGCCATCGACACCTCGGTATCATCATCGAAGAAGCGGGTGAGGAAGAGCCTTTCTGCATCGGCCCATGACTTGATAGAGCTTGGTTCTAACTTGCGGAACCATTCGAAGGTTACCCCTTTGAGGGTGCCGATAAATAGCCGGGTGAGGATGGCGTCGTTCCCGGTGAGGAATCCGGTTTGAGCTATAAAGTAGTAGATGTGCTACGAGGGGGACGCCTTGCCATCAAACTACACCAAACTGATGGGTTTAAATTTTGCCGAGTAGGGGACTGTGTCCCACTGGACAGGGTACGGCCTGACCACTCCCAGTTTATTCATGTTTTGTTGGAGCTTTAAGGCATTGAGTTGGCTTTGGAACTTCTCGAATCTCCTGTCTCGGTGGTACCCCCGGAGCGCGACGCTGTCGATGACCTTGAGGAGTGATCCGACAGGAGTTCGGGATTATCCTCCTGCTCAGTTGTTTGGTTGGGAATGGGTTCCTATTCCTTGCCTCCCTCTGGCCTTCGTAGGGGACGCACGACCTTCTTCTTCTTCTTCTTTTTGTTCAGAAGCTGTTCCAACATGTCCTTTATGGACTCGATAGCGACATGATGTTCTTTGAACTTTTGGGCAATCGTCTGATCACTCGAGCTGTTAGCCATGTGCACCCTTGCTAGCTCACCGTAACTCGAATGCGAGGTCTGGAACGTAGTCGCCGTCGAACAAACTTCTTCTTCACTAACGGAAGGGGGCGCTAGGAGAGAGTAATCGAATGGGATGTTGACTCCCCTATGATTGCGGGTGTGTAGGAATATACCGTCACGCTCGCGTTGAACCAGCGGGTGACTGGACTCCAGGAAAGAATCCAAATCTGGAGGATTTGAAAGCACATTCTTACCCTTACCGGTCACATTGACCGTAGCAGACGAGAGCTCTAAATCATCGAGGGCGCGCCTTCTTTGGTGGCTACGCTTTCGATGAGAAGATCTCGGTTGGGAAGGTCGTTGAGCAAGCCTTTCGAACACCGAAGGCTTCACCATTTCTACATATTAGCAGTCGGCGAGTACCGTTTGGATAAGACTTTCGCAGTGACACTGAGGATTAGCCTCATGTATGGTGCGTTTGCGAGTTAGGTAACCTCGGAGATCCTCTGTGGGTAGTTGGCGACAACCCCCGACATCAGAAGGGTCAACCAAGCGGTCGCATGAGAGAGGTCTGGATGAACTCTCCTGCGTACACTGGGTGGAATGGTCAAGTGTTGGAGTTAGGCGAGTTTGCCTTGGTAGGCGAGTCTTCGTGCTCGGGCGAGTTCCTGCATGCAGGCGAACTCCAATCCTTTGTTCACGCAGGCGAGCTTGTGAGGCATCGCCTACTGTTTTGCCCTTGTCGTTAAGGCTCGCTCGTTCGCAATGCTTACCCGTCGAGTGGACTTGGTGAGGCTCGCCTGATTTTGAGGGCTCGCTTGTTCTGGGCAGTCGGTTTGCATCAGAGATGTGACCTAAGAAACGGAATCCACCTGAGTGGGCAGGCTTGCCCGCTTTGACTAGTTTGCCTGAACGGCCGAGTTTGTCATAAATACCGGACCCACCAAAATGGGAGATATTACGATCAGAGCGAAGTCCGCCTGAACGCGAAGGTTCGCCTGATTTGGCGAGCCCACCAGCGTTGGGAGGGTTGTTTCTCTACCTTGCACCTTTCAAACCCGAATAATAGTTCAGGCCATCGTATGAGGTGAAGGCTCGGGCCTCCTGTTGGGTGAGGACCCGTCGTCACCACTGGCGGGCTCTCCTAGAAAGAGGAGCGTCCGTACGGACCGTGATGGCGTGATCTGCGCCAAGATGAACCAATATCTCTTCCTGAGTAGGGGGCTGCGAGGGTCGTTTGGTGACCCATCTGGCAGCCTTTTGCCCTACACTCTTGACCTCTGGCTTGGCCTTGGTCAATTTGGAGGGAATAGGCTCTCCTGGCGTGACTCAGATAGAGTCCTCAGGTGCGGCGGCTTTGACCGTTTGAGGTTAGCCTCTACGCATAACTCTGTGGCGTTTGCAGGACGCATTGCCACCAGAGGAGGAGGAAGATAAGTACTCTTCGTACTTGGCCTGGTCGAACATGATTTCTAGGGACTCCACGGTCGTCCCAACAGTAACCTTGTCGAACTGCGCTATCACCATTTTGTCTGAAGAAATAGCTCCTCCCACTGTGGTCACCATCTTCTGTAGGTGTAAATTTTAATTTCTCGAAATTGGGATTTTTGTTTGTATTTATAAGAATGACTTATTACAAACTAATGAATCGAAATTATAACAGAAGCGGAGGGATGCCCTCCTTGTTTAATATGGGGACTTTGATAGCGATAAGACGCCTCGCTCGGTTCTCGCACCGAGTCTGCTTTCCTTGGATGATTCGATCGAGGTTACTGGTGAGCTTCAGTACGCAGTAGAAGCTCGCATTAATCGAGTTCGAGTCTCCGAGTTCAAATGGCGATCAGAGCCGAGAACTGAGAGCTAACGGTTCAGCTAACTGATTGATTTGATCAATTAACTATGAACAGACTCTCAATCTCTTAAACTCCGATCTGTTTCCTATTGCCAGGAGAGGTTCTTAAATAGAGGGAAGACGGCATGGCCACTCCCTGAATTATGGGATGTGACCATGTATTGTTGGGAGATACCATGCTTCTTACTTGTACTGTGAGCGGTCGTTTGATGGGCTCGAAGCACTGTACTCCTCCCTTCATGTCGCGGGAAATGGGAAGGCCCATCCCTGTACGTGGTGTTGCGGCTGCCAGGTGTTCTGGCGAGTCTGGCAAATTCATCATTCGCCAGCTCGTTGCTTGAATGTTCAGGCGAATTTCAGTCACTTGGGTTGATTTTGGCTCGTGCAGGTACATAGGCGAATTTGGCGACTGCGCGGATTTGACCGATCATTTGTATTGTAGATGGCTACTTGATGGGCTTGGAGTACTATGCTCCTTCCCCTCACGTCGCGGGTAATGGGAAGACCCATCCTTATACGTAATATTACGGCCGCCAGGTACTCTGGCGAGTCTGGCGAGTTTACCGATCGCAGGCGAATTCGGCTCTTGAGCGAACTTAACTCGTGCAGGCGAGTCCAGTGTGCATGTGAGTTTTTTGATTGCTTGGCGGATCGCCAGATGCGTAGGCGAAATCAGTTCTTGGTGTGGTCTTGGCTCGTGCTGGCGAATCAAGCACACGGGTAAGCCCAATTCTCAAGTTGCGCGGGCGACTTGAATACGCAGGCGGATTTCATATTTATCTGTAAAGGTAATTTTTACTGCCTACATAGTCCCAACTCTTCAAATTTATCTTTAATTCCAGCCATCCGATCGATACATTACGTTCGCTTCTCGTACCTCTACCAATCTTATAAGTACATCACCGCTTGTATAGTATACGGATCTAAGCATGTCCTGTGATCGTTGATCAAACGTCCTGCTATGCTGAAGGCGGATTCCGAAGCTACCATCGAAACCTACATTGTTAGTATGTCACGAACCATGATGGAAAGTATAGGATATGAAACTAATCCATATACTCTCCACTATTATAAAATATTTAAAGCATTTTCTTGATATTTAACTAAGGAAGCAGATAAATATTCATCTATTTCAGAAACCTCTAATGCTGATCCAAGTCCAGATCCACCAATTAGTTCAGCTACCATTGCATACCTATCAAAACTTACACTTTTACCTCGATCTGTGCTCGAAGGCGCCGAAGCTGTAGACTGTTGTGTAGCTACACCATGTCTAGCTGCATACTCATCATATAATGTTTAAAAATAATTTCTAATAGCTAAATAATGCTAGCTGCATACTCATCATATAATGTTTAAAAATAATTTCTAATAGCTAAATAATGAGAAGTAGCAGTAAGGGTGGATCCATCATCTAAGTCTATAATCTGTCCACCATACAATGATTGTAACAAACTTCGAAGGCCAATATCCTTCAAACATGGATGAATAAGAACCCCCAAACCAAAAATATGAGGAATAGGCCTAAAATATTTATTAAATTTTCTCTCCATTTAAAAAATTACAGCTCTAAAAGTAGCATCCATACGATATTTGGTAAAAAATTTTTGAATATTTAAAATTTGTAAAGCAGCTAAAGTAATTGTTGGATAATAACAACCATATAATAACATTGTAGCATCATAAACGACTTATAACATCTTATTTAAATTACATATAATTATCCATTCATGTTCAGTTATTCCATAAGTACTACCAGAGCTAGAACTAGAAGCATAAAAATTTATAAAATCATTTATAATTTCTTTATATTCTATAGCTATACTTAACATTACATAGGTGGAATTCCACCTATGGTCAACATCTTTTGGAATTAGTCTGGACTTATAATTTTTTTTACAATATTGTTTCCATCTTTTAATTCTCATTTTAGAAGTATTAATATATTAGCAACTGTTCTAACCTTTTCTATCATGATTTAATTTCAGAAAATACACTTTGAATAATTAAATTTAAAATATGACAGATACATCTAACATGAAAAAGTTTACTATGACATGATAATGACAGAGTTGTTTTGATAAAATCAACAGCTACATTGTTATTACTTGTATTATCCAGTGAAAGAGAAGATATTCTTTGATCAATTTCTAGTTTCATAAGTTCTTCAATTATTAAATTTATAATATTAATACCAGTATGTGACTCTTTAATTATAATAAAAGAAACAACTCTTTTAAACATTTACCTATTTTCATCATTCCAGTGTGCTGTGATACATAAATAACCAGTTTGCACTCTAGATGTCCAAATATCAAAAGTTAAAGAAAATTTACAGTTTAAAATTTTAAAATAAGAAATTATTTTTCCTTTTTTCTCCTGATAATATTTTAAAATATCACGTTGACATGTTTGACGAGAAAATTTTGTAAATGCGGGATAAAAACCATCTCTAAATAAATCTTCAAATTCATCATCTTCTACTAGTTTAAAAGGAATGTTTTTAAGAACGATAAACCTGATTACGCATTTCTTAGCTCGGGCAGAATCATAATTCCAACTATCGAGACTATCAGAAGAGGAGGATTGAGAAATCATAGATTGTCGGATATCACCTTGAGGATTCTGGCATTTGTTGTGTTTTTCTATATGACGTTTGAGGTGGTTGATGCCGCTCTAATGATGAGCTTGGAAAGTCTGGCCGCATAACATACATTTAGCCTTCTGGGTGATGATCCTACAGTGTTCATCCTTGGTGACGTCTATCTTCTCAAAAAAATTCCACACATCGGATCTCGACCTTTTAGAAGCTCTTGGTACAGATTTGTCACCACCAGATTCAGGATTAATACCGGTAGGAGGAGTAGTTGTTGTAGGAAGACTTATTTCTGGATCGGTAGGAGATATGTGTTGCTCTTCATAATCACAGAAGCCATTTGATAGAAATATTAGAAAATATAAGAGATTTTAAGAGAGTATAAGATTGTATAAGAGAGTATTAGAGAGAAGTAGATGAGTTTTGGTGTGATGAGAAGAAGTGAAAACCTCCCTCATATTCCAGCCGTTTTTTGATCGTTTTAGGGGCAAAACGGTCAAAACCCCATTTTTGGCCATTATGGTCGGGCCGAGCCAGCCAAACGGTTAGTTTTTTGATCGTTTTGACCGGGCCGAGCAGCCCAAGCCCGGACCCGGGCCCGGGTGGTCCGGGCCGGGTCTGAGCGGGCCGGACACCGGGCCGGCCCGGTTTGATTTTTTTAAATTTTTTTTTATTTTTTTTATTTTTTTAAAATTTTAACAAAACCATAAATCATAAATTATTATAAAAAATGTCATAAATTTAATTAATAACTTGAAATGAAATGACATAAATTACAAGTACAAAAAATGATAAAAATAACTTCTTTATTAATAATCGGTAAATCCTTTACAAGTATAAATTTATTTCGAAATTCGTCGCATCACAATAGATGAGTACATCCCAACTAGGTTGGCACCTACTCACCCATATCACTATCATTTGTAACTTTTTTCGAAATAATTTAATTCAAATTTAAAGCTAAGAAATAAAAATTACAATTTTATGAATATTATCTAATCATTATATCTATCTGCTAATCCTAGCTCTTCAAATTTATCTTCAATCATAGCAATCCGTTCGATGCCTTGTGTTCGCTTCTTGTATCTTCACCAATCCTGTAAGCACATCACCGCTTGTATAGTATACGAATCTAAGCATGTCCTGTGGTCGTCGATCAAACGTCCTGCTGTGCTGAAAGCGAATTCCGAGGCTACAGTCGAAACCTGCACTGATAGTAAGTCACGAACCATGGTGGAAAGTATAGGATATGAAACTGATCCATATACTTTCCACCATTGCAAAATATCTAAAGCATTTCCTTGACATTTAACTAAGGAAGCAGATAAATATTCATCTATTTCAGAAACCTCTAATCCTGATGAAGTTCCAGATCCACCAGTTAGTTCAGCTACCATTGCATACCTATCAAAACTTACACTTTTACCTCGACCTGTGCTCGAAGCTGAAGGTGCCGAAGCTATAGACTGTTGTGTAGCTACACCATATCTAGCTACATACTCATCATATAAGGTTTGAAAATAGTTTCTAATAGCTAAATGATGAGTAGTAGCAGTAAGGGTGGATCCATCATCTAAGTCTATAATCTGTCCACCATACAATGATTGTAACAAACTTCGAAGGCCAATATCCTTCAAGCATGGATCAATAAGAACACCAATACCAAAAATATGAGGAATAGGCCTAAAATACTTATTAAATTTACTCTCCATTTGAAAAATTATATTTCCAAAAATATCATCCATACGATATTTTGCAAAATTTTTTTGAATATTTAAAATTTGTAAAGCAGCTAAAGTATGGATAATAACAACCGGATAATAATATAGTAGCATCATAAAAAACTTGTAACATCTCATTTAATTTACATATAACTGTCCATTCATCTTCAGTTATTCCATAAGCACTACCAGAGCTAGAACTAGAAGCATAAAAATTTATAAAATCATTTATAATTTCTTTATATTCTATTGCTACAGATAACATTGCATAGGTGGAATTCCACCTATGGTCAACATCTTTTGGAATTAGTCTAGGCTTATAATTTTTTCTTTTACAACATTGTTTCCATCTTTTAATTCTCATTTCAGAAGCATTATGCATATTAGTAACTGTTCTAACTTTTTCTATCATGGGTTTAATTTCAGAAAATGCACTTTGAACAATTAAATTTAAAATATGACAGATACATCTAACATGAAAAAGCTCACCATGACATGGCAATGACAAAGTTATTTTCAGAAAATCAACAGCTACATTATTATTACTTGCATTATCTAGTGAAAGAGTAAATATTCTTTGATCAATTTCTAGTTTCGTAAGTTCTTCAACAATTAAATTTGCAACATTAATACCAGTGTGTGACTCTTCAATTGCAATAAAAGAAACAACTCTTTTAAACATTTTCCAACTTTCATCAATCCAGTGTGCTGTTATACATAAATAACCAGTTTGCACTCTAGATGACCAAATATCAGAAGTTAAAGAAAATTTGCAGTTTAAATTTTTAAAATAAGAAATTATTTTTCCCTGTTCCTCAACATAATATTTTAAAATATCACGTTGACAGGTTTGACGAGAAAATTTTGTAAATGCAGGATAAAAACCATCTCTAAATAAATCTTCAAATTCATCATCTTCTACTAATTTAAAAGGAAGGTTTTTAAGAACAATAAACCTGATTACGCATTTCCGGGCTCGGGCAGCGTCATAATTCCAACTGCCGAGGGTACCTGAAGAGGATGATTGGGAAAGCATAGACTGCCGGATATCACCTTGTAGATTTTGGCCTTTGTTGTGTTTTTCAATATGCCGTTTGAGATGGTTGGTGCCGCTCTTATGATGAGCTTTGAATATCTGGCCGCACAACGCACATTTCGTATTCTGAGAGATGATCCTACCGTGTTCATCCTTGGTGACGTTTATCTTCTCAAAAAAATTCCATACATCAGACCTCGACCTTTTTAGAGCTCTTGGTGCCGTAGATTCGTCGCCACCAGATTCAGGATTAACACCGGTAGGATGAGGAGTTGTTGTAGGAGGACTCATCTCTGGATCGGTAGGAGTTGCATGTTGCTCTTCATAATCAGACCCAGAAGCCATTTGTTGGAAGTATTAGAAAATACAAAAGATTATAGGATAGTATATTAGTATGAGATAGTATAAGAGAGTAGTAGAGAGAGAAATAGATGAGTTTTGTTGTGAGGAAATGAATTAAAACCCCCCTCTATTTATAGAAGCAGCTCCCTAGGTAAATGACCAAAAAACCCTCGAAAAATAGCCGTTTTTGACCGTTTTAAGGGGCAAACGGTCACTTTTGTGACCGTCTGGCCCGGCCCGGACCGGCCAACGGTCACGTTTGTGACCGTTTTGGCCGGGCCGGCCATTCGAAGCCCCAGTGCCCAATTTGGGCACTGTTCCGGGCCCGGGCCGGGCCCGGACAGGGCTCGTCAACGGCGGCCCGGGCCCGGTTTTTGCCCGGGTTTCCGGGCCCGGGCCGGACACCGGGCCGGGCCTGGGCTCCGGGCTTTTTGGACACCCCTAGCCCTACTTATCTCTCACCTCTCTCCTAGTTTAACAATTGCCTAAGGCGCACTTGTCAAAATACCATGTTATAAATTATCAAATCAGTGATTTGATTGACTTTTTGCGCCTATTAAAAATAAATAAAATTCAAATAGAATTTTAAAGGTGTTTTTTTTCCATAAAAACCACCTTAAAAATAGAACAATTATATAGAAATCACCTTTTAATTTTTATTTATACATAGATCATCTTTGAAAAATGTTTTTATTTTAATCAACTATCTTCTCGACAAATTTTTACTAAAAAAGTAAAAATAAATTAAAAAATTAATATTCAAAGCACGTGAGTTGTGATATAATAAGACCTAAACACTAAAAAAAATAGAGTCGTATGCCTCAAATGCAAGTTATTTAAGATTAATTTATGGTTGTTAATGACAAAATTAACTAAGAGACTATTGATGGTAACAAAAACCCACTTTAAATATAATTCATATATAAATTAAAATTAAAAAATAATTTTCGTATAGCTACCCTATTTAAGATGGTCTTCAGAAAAAGCCCGATTTTAAACAGATCTTATGTTCTTCAATTAGGAGTTGTTTTCCCCAGGGCTAAAATGACAATTGGGGCCCACTTCTGATATTCCATTGGCCACGTACTCTCAAGCCATCGTTATTTATTAAAAATTATTATTGGTAGCATTATTAAATGGGAAAGCACTAGAAGCCCTCCCTCCGTCTCTCTAAAATTTCTCTCAATCCAACTCAATCACAGACTTTCTCTCCCTCCCATTCTCACATGAATCTCTAGCTAGGGTTAGGTTTAGGGTAGGGTTAGGGTTTCGGATCTCGAGTCAAATACGGCGTTCGATTAGATCTCGCGAAAATCTCGGCTCTTTCCTTTGCTTGGAAAGAGATGACGACAGGCCGCTGGCTCTGTTGTTTATTGGTGGCGTTTGGATTTATCTTCACAGCAATCGACGCCAGTGCTGGCGATGCCGATTCCCTTTACAGGTAACTGCTTTTGATTCAAATTCCTCTTTTTCATTCTTTTTATACTTTTGAATCTGTTAGACTTCTGTCGAGAGTTAGGTTCTGGTGTTTGAGATCTTGTCAGTGGCAATCGATAGCACTTTATGAAAGAAATTGGAAAAAGGAAAGTGAGAAGCTAAATTTCGAAGGGTAAATTTCACGAAATTGCCATGAACTACTTGCCATCAGAAAACAAAATCTCAGGGGTGAGATAATTCAGAGAAAGGAAGGGGGAAGGGAAATTTGAAATCGGCACATTTACTATCAGAAAACTTATGATAATAACTGAAGTCTCGTATTATTACATAGAAATCACGTTTGAAAAGTTTGGTTTCATACAGAATTACGACCATAAGCCTTTCATTTGGATTGTTTACAATGTTTTTTTCCTGTTAACCTGACGTGTGATGAATTGATGATCAAAGATATGAACAGAATATTTCAGTTAAGCTCATGTCAGTACATAAAATACGACGCTGCAGTAGTGATTTGTATGCAGGCTAATACTTTATATACTATCAAGAATATAAAACGCATACCATCATGTCCTAAGGCTTCTCCATAAGACTAAGCTGACCTTTGATTAGCACAGCTCAATGTTTTAAATATCGGTCGATCTATCTATATTATCGACGATTTATCGGTTTTGAGAGCCTTCTACTATGATAAGTTCGATTTTAAATTGGTTATTATTTTTGGATGTTTATTACTGATAATGCGGTGATAAAGTGAGTTATCGGCTGATATTGTTGGCCCAAAAGTCGGAATTTTCGGCCTTTGGTTTGAGTTTTGATTTTTGGCAACGGGCATCTATTCAGTGCGCTTTAAACCCGACTCGGCCCGAGTTTCTACCATTGGTTAGTGGCCCTAAACATAATTATTTACATTTTGATATGTTTATATTTCATTAAGTATGGTCAGATTACATTTCAGGATATTATATTATGTATATCACCATTTTGTAATGTTACTCCTATAACTACTACTTATCCCCAATATATCCCCAATATTCGCTATCCGATATGGATTTTGACCGTCCGATAAATCCCTACTAATGGATATTTAAAATCTAGGCACAGCTTGTAGAGCCTTAAAGAGAGTCGAATAACTTTGTTTACACTTTTGCAAGCTTTTTAAAAAAATTACTTCAAGTAGATAAAAAGCTTTCAGAAGGATGAGATTTTATAATATTTCGAGAGTGTAGCTTCCCTAGCTTCAATATGCCTAATAGAATCTAGAACTTCATGGATTTGATAGTTTGTAAGATTTCCTTCCGCCATCACATATCTATTGAATATGGATACATTGAGTCTTACAAATTCATAATTATCTATAACATATTTTTTCTAAAGCATCTTATAATTCTTTATCACTTTTGAATTCATAGCAGATGTCATCAAAGTTCTCGGTAATGCATCGAAATCTACAGTTCCAACTGTCAAGCTTCTCATGTTTACTTTAGCACTATTTTTTTTAGTTTCCTGGAAACATGAATGAGTTAGATGTAAGTAGCTTGGACACATGACACGGGATTTGGCTGTTCTGCAAAAGGACATGGTGACAAGTCAATATGATAATACAATATAGTACTATGATAACAATTATAATGCTGATTAACAGAAATAGAGTTTATATGCATGCATTATTGCACATGCTCATGCCTTCAAGAGTCTTTACTATAATCTCTAATAATTTAAGTATGTAATCGTTACATGTGTGCTATCTTTTTGACCGACCATACATTTTGATGACATTGCTTTACAATTTTATATGTTGGACTTTATCCAAACTTAGTTACGAATTAATGTTTGAGAATTTTTCACCATAGTATTTGGTGTGCAAGTGAAAATAAATAGATATCTCAAATATGTAATATAAATAAAGAAGTGTATGTGAAGTGTATGATATATGTCCAAGTAGTGTTGGATAAAACATGTATTATATGATTGAGGATATGCTGGAATAAGTTTATGAACATAAACAAGGAGAGTCCAAGTAAGTAACAGTGTCCAGTATGGATTTCGGGTACATATATGGCTTCATGATAGAAGTGCCATTCTACATAGGTGCAGAGATATGTCAAGTAGTGTTTGATGGTGTTCTAATTACAACATGCATTGTATACTTCAGGACATATTTGAATAAGTGTATGCACATATCCAAAGAGTGGTCCAAGTAAGTAAATGGCCAATATGGGTTTTGGGTATGCTAATGGCTTCATGATAGAAGTACCATGCTACGTAGGTGTAGAGAGATGTTAAGTGAACCTGCAAATCACATAAGTAAAAGGTACCATGCAAAGAGTACAATTCTCTGGCAGGTATTTTATCAAACATCTCAAGTGCTTTAGTAGAAAGCAAATGTAAGCATGCAAGATTTCTTTTACATAAGGTTTTTACATAAGGAACAAACAAACAACTGTCTTTGACCACATATTCTTCTTTATTGCTGCACATCTAGATTTTTGTTATGTTTCTTTTAAGTTTATTCTTCGACTGTGAAAATTATGTAGAGTTTTGAATGATAAACACATTGGTATATTACATAGGAAAAGAATTTATTTTTGGAAATACTGACAATTTCCTCTTATTATTTGCCTTTCCCCCCTTATTTCTCCTCTCTTTTATTTTTTCTCTCTTCTAAAACCCACTCTATTAAACCCTCTATCTTCTAAAACCCTTACTTCCCCCCTTAAAATTGTTCTTGTCATGCATGATCAATGATCATTCTTGGTATCCGGTCATGGATTGTTAATGCATTATCTGAATCCTGAGTGGCTACATATTAGTTGGATGAATAGTATTTGCATGCTTGTGGTGTTGCGTGTACCCTGAGAGCACTTCATGCAAAAATAACAAACAAACTGTTGATGTGTATACCTACCTCACCTGTAAAGTTATGTTCTCTAGAAGTTAACCCTCTTTATTTTCTTCTGAAGAGGATTATATATGGGTGTTGAAACAGGTTTTTGTATAAATCATGCCCTTTATTGTGCGGTGAAATTCCCCTTTTCCAGAATTGGTGGAACCTGTTGATATTTCCTGTGTAGATATGATAAAGATGCTATTTCAAGATTGCTTTAGTGCTTTTGGCTAACTTTCCTTTGTGATACCAGAAAATGTGTCAAACAATGTGAGGAGACAGGATCCATTGGGGATATCTCCATCCAGCATTGCCAGTTCTTAGATGAGACTGTCAACAGTTCTTGGTATATGCAAGAGCCACTGTACATGCAGTGGAAACAATTAAACTGCAGGAGCGACTGCCGTTACTATTGCATGATACAAAGAGAAAGTGAGAGGGAAAAACTAGGTCTGAAGCCTGTGCAGTATCATGGGAAATGGCCTTTCAAGCGTGTCCATGTCTTCCAGGTTTTTTATTCATATATTCCGTAACTTTACTGATACAAGTCCTTAGACTTATATGCTTGCCATGTTTTTTTCCCTCTTCATGTTCTTGTTGCATGAGAACCTGTATTTCTTCCACATACTGTTAACTGGTAATTCTATTCAGGAACCTGTTTCTGCTGCCCTTTCTGCACTCAATCTAATAATGCATTTCAATGGCTGGTTGTCTTTCTTCCTGTTGGTAAATTACAAGTTGCCTCTTAGACCTCAAAGTAAGAGGACATACTATGAATATACCGGATTGTGGCATATATATGGGTTGTTATCGATGAACGCGTGGTTCTGGAGTGCTATATTCCATACTAGGTAAGCTATGTAGCTTCTTTTACATGAATAGGAAATAAATATACCAAATAAACTCACTGTCATGGTGGTCATGTACCATGTTATACAGAGATTTTGATTTGACTGAGAAGCTAGATTATTCTTCAGCTGTGGCTTTACTGGGATACTCCTTCATTCTGGCTTTATTGCGAACTTTTAATGTGAAGGATGAGGCCTCAAGAGTCATGTTTGCAGCCCCCATCTTAGCCTTTGTGACGACGCACATACTATATCTCAACTTTTACCAACTTGACTATGGTGAGTTGACAATCGTCCTTTATGTTCAGTCATTTTCTAAACTTGGTGTTTTTTATACTTATTATTGCATTTAGTTACATGATATGTAATTATGAAAAAATATGGAAGCAACTCTGTACTTCGCTTTGGCCCTTTTGAGGGGCTTCGGATAGCAAGTGCCCAGATCAGGTATGTACATGCTGACATACATAATTGGATAGTCAATATGCCATTTGACTTTTATTTGCCCCCTTAGTGCTCCTCCTATCACATTTATGCGCGGCTTTAGCTTTATCTGCAAGGTTTAAATGATATACACTACCTGTACTATAGGGGTTAGCCACTTATAACCCCTAAACATGTACTTAGACCCTCCTGATGCCTCTACTGTTCTCTCTGTTATCTAAACATGTACTATAGGGGGTGTATGTTCAACTGTAAGAATTTTGGGTATCTGCAACGAATTAAAATACCAGGAGATCTATCTTCAACATGTTGACGTCTAGCGGGAGTCACACGTGATGAGTATAGATAACATAGAGATTACTCTGTTTGGCATTGGGGTCTAGGTAATAAGTGGCTAACCTCTTATGGCGTAGGAGTGTATCTGCAATTAACCTAATTTGTAATTACATCTAGATGGGTATATAAACATGAGTCTTGCTTAGTTAATAATACCCTAGTCTGATCTTTTCCATAAATATACAGGATGGAACATGAAGGTCTGTATTGTACTGGCTATTGGTCAGCTCCTCTTGTGGGCAATTTGGGCTGGCATATCTCGTCACCCATCACGGTTCAAACTATGGACAGTTGTGTTTGGTGGGGCCCTAGCTATGCTTCTCGAGATTTATGATTTTCCTCCTTACCATGGATATGTTGATGCCCATGCACTTTGGCATGCTGCCACCATTCCTCTCACATATCTCTGGTGGAGCTTCATCAAGTCCGATGCTGAATTCCGGACTGCATCTCTCATCAAGAAAGCAAAGTGAGAGTAATAGTAGCAGATAGTGGGGATGTTCATCGTCATCATCATCATCCCACAATACTAACAGATTAGGTTACATGTGCACTTGTGGTTTTAATGCCAAACTTCTGGATTCAAGTTATTCATTCATTCTGTACCTTATGAAGCTAGTTTGTTTGTTGTTTTTTTTTTTCCTTCTGTTGAGGTTAATTTTGTACAAGTGACTGTTTTAAACTGTTGATCTCGTTGATTTCCGAGTTGAAGAACTTGTAAGCGTGGTGACAATATTCTATAGGCTGTAGAAATTTATTGATGAGTCATTGTGTAGTTGGTGATTTTGCAAAATCATAAGGGGGCTACTCAGCAGATTTGTGCTTAGCGGTTATCGGAGGTACTTGATTTATGGAGAAATTTTTAAAACCAACCATTTTTAAAATTTAATAGGCAAAATCGACCTAAACTGAAAAATATTAGCAAAACCGACCCTTTTCAGGAGAAAAGGGTCGGTTTTGCAGCGGAGGGTGATTTCCGAAGTGCACGGGACTGCTAGTCCCGTGCACTTGGTGTTCAGCAAACCCGCTGCTGAAACCCAGTGCACGGGACTATCAGTCCCGTGCACTTGGTGTTCCAGCAGCTGCTCTCTGCTTAAAAGTCGGGACTAGCAGTCCCGACTTTTAAGCAGAGAGCACTACCCGTTTGCTGAACACCAAGTGCACACCACAAACTCCCACTAACAAATCCAACATAATAACACCACAAACTCCCACTAACAAATCCAACATAATAACACCACAAACTCCCACTAACAAATCCAACATAAAAACATCACAAACTCACTTAGAAATCAAACATATCACATGATATTATCGACTACAAATCCAAAAATCACATCCCTAAATAGTTTTGTAATGTATATAACCTGTAGTTTACATACATCCAAGAACTCTCCTCCTCCTCCTTTGTCTTCGTCGTCCTCCATACCGCCCTTCGACGAGTTCGTGATCCGGTTGCGTTTGTGGTTGTGACGGTCCAGCTCCATCGTCGACACGTTGGGAAGGTCCAGCTTCATCGTTATTTCTGCGTCGTCCTCGACTTTGTCGCTGTTGTCGTGTATATACGAATGACCTTACCTCCCGTCCATCATGACGATCTTCGTGAGTTCGGTGTAAGGCTTGTTGAAGCCTCTGCATTATAGCCTGATATATTGATACATGTTCATGTGCTTCGGGATTTCTATCTGCTGCGATAGATAGTTCAAAAACAAAATTTCATATTAAATTTGATATTACAGAATGTAAATTTGAGATTTAATTTTATCGTACCTGCTCTAGCCAATTCCAAGCCACGATTTGCAAGAGTTTGAACTTCATCTATTGCTGATACCTGCAAATTTTTCAACACATAAAGTACCAATAAAAATGGACTTAAATCAAAATATGAAAATACTTACTAATTCTCTCTCATCTATACCCCGGGGCACATATCCTCTTTGCGACTCAACCGGTATTGTGGTCGAATGAAGTATCCATCTTCGGGTTATGTCCCAATACCAAGTGTAGTAATCTGATTCCCGAGGAGTTGGTTCAATTTGGTTGACAATACAAAAATGCCTATCATTCCATTTGTGTATAAAAGCTTGATGCACGATCATCCAGTTTATTTGTTGGCCTCCTTTCTTTGCCTTCCTCTCTATCTTTTCAACAAACTGCGGAACATGTTGTGCAAGACCATATTGTCGAAGCACGCGGTCCGGTACATGCATTTCTACTATCTCCAAACATATAAGAGGAACTCTAGCTCTCCATACAACTTGGTATTCTGTGCATATTGGGGGTAGCTGAGGTAGAAATTGGGTGTAGGGCTCCCATTCCATCTACAATAATTTATTGCAGTTGCATATCAGAATTGGGTTTTCAGTATGTAGAAGAAAAAACGCATGTTTTTCGGTGAGAATTACCTGAAAAATCTTCATACGGTCAAGCTCATTCCGGTAGAAATCCAATTGTCTAGCCGGGGTCTCGTCATAGCATTTTTCGACATTCCATCTACAAAAAAATATTTATCATACATTTAGTACCACAATGATAACTACAATTATATTCGCTACACTAAAAATACAATACCTGCATCCCAGTGGAATTTGTCCATCTAATTGTAAATGCGTGCATAGTCTTGGCTTCAAATGAAGTCTCTCCCATGCCCATACTTGCAATAAGCTTAGACACCCTTTAAGCTCACTGTTTTGCATAAGTGCCACTTTTGACATCTCTCTATATAAATACGCCAAAACAGCACTACCCCACGATTTTGTACCACATACGTCCAAGTCCTCGAGGAGTGGTAACCACCTAGCATATTCACAATATTCCAATTTATTAAAATAAGCTAATTCAATGAAATACAGATTCATATTATAAATACACATACCTCGCATGCACTTTATCTTTACTTGAATCTGGAAATAATATAGTACCAATCATGTGCATAATGTATGCACGTGCATGTTGGTCAACCAAAATTTGTGGGGCATCAACAGGCAACGGTACTGAGAAGGTCTCTCTCAACCACTTCAACTTAATAGTTCCTCTAGGCATAGTCTCTGGAGCTACACCTAACAACTCCTCACATCTTCGAGGCCATACATCACTATCAGCCCCGCTTCCGCGATTTGCGCCGCGATAGCCCCGCTTTTTGCCGCTTTTTACAACACTGATCAACCATAACGATACTCGGACCTCTCTGTATAGACAATGATAGTATAAGAATGCAATATTATGTAAATGCAAATATTACAATTATAAAGTAACTGAATTACCTCTGTACAGGATATAATATGTGAACGATGCTGAGCCTGGTCATATAAGACCTCATCACTAACCGGCCCAGGATCCATGGTGTACAAACCTGCACATATAATTATACACATGTTAATAATCAATCATATAGTAATTCAGTTTCTTTATTAAAGTATATAAAAATAAAAAAATGATATAAATTACCAATTAGTTGCTATCTATTGTGTCTAGATGGACAACGAGGTCGAGTATGTCCCGGTTGTTTGCAAAGACTACATTTTTTGTGCTTGACCACTCCTTCTCGCCCTTGATCCATGGTTCCCCTAATTCGCACAGATCGTGGTCGACCTGCTTGTCTCCGGTACTGAGGTGGAACTATATGTGGTCCATTATATTCAGGCCAATACCGACTATCATCAGGTGGATGAAAACTCTCACTATATGTCTTTTGATAGTGAGCTGTTGAATACCAAGGCGAGCAATACCGATTTCTGGGAATTCTAGCACCTCCCGGCTGATTAGAAGAAGCCGCAAGCACATGTGCACAGGGTATTTTTTGGAGTTGTGGTATGTTACATGTGCAAGTGCAATCAACATCAAATAGTTTAACGGTGTAGATACCGTCACAATCTTGTACCTGCCATTCGTTGTCGTTGAATACAGTAATTTGACATGATCTTGCTGCCTCAATTCTTCTATGCAAAATGGACTCATTTTTTGGTGTGTAACGTGTTGTCCAGTCTATGCCATCACCACGCCTTTTGTTGAAGTATGCGTTTAGTCTATAGAATGTTCTCGCAACCAAAGATTGTATTGGCATAGCTCGTGCTCCTTTAAGAACGCCGTTAAAGCTCTCGGAGCAATTAGTCGTCATCATGCAAAACCGCACACCCTCATCCTTACATAATGCCCACCGATGCTCGAATTGAGGCTTCAAGTTATTTTCAATCCAATTATGTGCATCTAATGACAAAGACTTGATTTTCTCCCTGCAATGTTCATACACTAATGTGTCGGTCGCACACCCGGCTTGCCACAAAAGATTTTGCAAATTAATCTCACCGTGTTTTTTCTTGAAATTATCTCTTATATGCCTTAAACAATATCGATGGTGATGTGGTGCACTAAAACCCTCATGTAACGCCCTTATAATTCCTTTCATCCTATCCGAAATAAAGGTAATTATTCTTGGCGCACGGACACTTGGAATCCACTTGTATATAAGTTCAAAAAACCACTTCCAACTAGACGTATCCTCCACCTCCACGACTGCAAATGCTAGAGGAAATAACCCGCCATTTGCATCTACACCGGTCGCTACAAGAAGCACGCCTTTGTACTTTCCATATAAATGTGTACCATCAATGCTCAATAGCGGACGACAAAAAGTGAAGCCCTTAATAGCAGGACCAAATGCCCAAAACACGCGAGTGAACCTCTCCATACCCGGTGCAATCTCTTCGGATAATATTTCGTATTCAGTACCCGGATTATTTCGTTTGATAGCTTCAAGATACTGTGGAAGTAATTCATATGATTTTTCCCAATCTCCAAAAATTTTAGACAACGCTTTTCTCCTTGCATCATATGCCTTATATTTAGATATCTTAATCCCCCGCATGTCATATACCCTCTGAAATATCTGACTTGCATTCAGATCAAGTTCAGCTCTAACTTCAGGCATAATTAGCTTACATATATAAGAAGAAGATGCAGAATAATCATCGACATCCACCGACGGGTTGCAACATGTATGAAGTCCGCAATATCTACATATTACAAATTGCCCATTTGATGATTTTCTCACAGCGGCATTTAGCAACCAAGGACATTTTTTATTTCTCTCATCTTGCTCATTTGCATTCTCTACTTCATTCTTATCGTTAAAGAAGCATTTCACATTGTAGTTTGTTGCATTAGTTTTTACCGGCTTTAATTTGACCCGATTCTTGATGGACCATTCTCGGATTGCAAAAATCAGTGCCTCCTTGTTCTCGAATAGATCCCCTTTTTTAAAAGTGAAGTCCTCAGGTCGTTGTAAATTTGGCCCAACATCAACAAATCCAGCTTGAGAAGTATTTATCCAATCCTCATTATGAAACTCGTCGGGCAACGGATCTTCAGCTTCCACATAATCATTGTTAACGTTAAATTGCTCCATCCAACGGGCGTCATCATCTATTCCAGCTGCCACATGCATGCTATCAATTTGCACGCCATCTTCTTCAAAATGATCTGAATCATCATCTGCTTCATCTTCTATAATTGCTCCGACTGGTGGGTAACCCGTAACATGAACTGAAGCGTCGTTAAATATATTAGTTGACGTCCCACCGATAGAATACTCACTTAAACGTTGTGGTTGAGACCATGGCTCTTGACTTGGAGATGTCATAAAACCAATCGACTCGTTGTCTAAGTCAAGCATCCGAGAAAACTCTCCTTGAGGTCGTGAAACTTGGGCAAATTCCTGAATCGGATACTTCTCAATAAACAACTCAATTGACGCTTGCTTCTCGACTAATTGTTTCATGTCATTCAATTCCTCATCTTCGGTAATCTCCACGGCAATAGTTCTACTCTCATTTATAGGACAGTTGAAGAACACCTTAATTGTATATTCTTCTTTCTTAATTTTAGTAACTCTGTGTATTTCCCTAGTCATTCCATCAAAATTACACGACTTAGATAGCATGAACATTTTCCGAGAACCTCCATCATACACCGGCAAATTATTCACTCCGACGCCGAGGCTCCCATTAAAGAAACAAATAATGGATATGGAGTTCGTCATCGAAACTGAAAATACACAGTCCATCATATGCAAATAATCTATTAATATCTGAATAAATCAACATCAAACTCTGTGTATTTCCCTAGTCATTCCATCAAAATTACACGACTTAGATAGCATGAACATTTTCCGAGAACCTCCATCATACACCGGCAAATTATTCACTCCGACGCCGAGGCTCCCATTAAAGAAACAAATAATGGATATGGAGTTCGTCATCGAAACTGAAAATACACAGTCCATCATATGCAAATAATCTATTAATATCTGAATAAATCAACATCAAATTTATTACCTTAATCAATCTCAAATAATGGCTACACCCTTAATTATTATTCATCATTTGTAAATAATTGCTAAACCCTAACCCCCAAACCACATTATTCATCCTATTGCACAAAATAAAAACTAATCCTACCCAATTCTAGCAAAATTAACAGCAAAATTAACAGCAAATTTGATGAATATCCCTCTCAAAAATAATTGTTAAACCCTCTCATATGTAAATAATTGCTAAACTAAACCCTAACTCCCAAATTAACAGCAAAATTAAAAAGAAAAACACACCTGAGAATGGGGGTTCGGTGGGCGTCGATGGTGTCGGATGCGCGACGAGGTCGGAGGGCTAGGGTTAGGCGGCGACTGCAAATGGCAGGGGGTCGAAGTCGAAGTTGAAGGCTAGGGTTTGGGGGGGTTGAAGGCTCAGTCACGAGAGCGTCGGGGTCGGCGGCGACGGAAAATGGCGGTGATCGGCGGCGACGGAAAATGGCGGTGATCGGCGGCGGGGGTCGACGAGGCCAGCAGGTTTTTTTTTTCTTCGGGGGAGAGTGGTCACGAGATCGCAGAAGGAAAGAAGGAACGAAACGAACGAAAAGAAAGCGGAGTTAGTGGGGTAGGCGGACTGCACGGGACTACTAGTCCCGTGCAGTTCCGTAATTGCAAAATCGACCCTTTTCGGTTGTTTTTGCTAATTAATTTCTGAGACGGTCGATTTTGCACAATAAAATTGAAAAATGGGCTGTTTTAAAAATTTCTCCTTGATTTATCCATGTATGGTTATCGGAGGTATTTGATTTATCCATGTATATGCGCATCTATGTTCACCCCGGATTATTCTGCTGCTCATAAATGGTTGATTGAAAACTTGGGTACGCTCTTTGACTACCTACCTATTACTTGCTGATTATCATTTGGGTTAGTTTCTTGTCTGTGGGTGTCATTATGTTTGCAACGTACTAGTTTTGTTGTTGCGATAGATGCCTTTAGTGAAAATCACCCCCCCCCCCCCCCCTCCAACACACCACACACGATTGGTTTTATTGGGTGTCAAAAAAACAGTTCAAAATTTTTTACGTGTAAAAGATTTAGAAATTTTCACTCGGGGGTCTTTCTGCAACGATAAATCTAGATCGGTAATAAGTTCAAAACAGTGATATTAGAGGAGGTCTATCCTAAACTAATCCTTATTATATTTGTCTGGTTTTATCGCTCCCTGTGTATACCGCAACTCGATCGCACATAGGGCTGTGTTTATGACTTAATATGAAACTCGGAAGTCTGCTAAGTTTCATCTATATACATTTTAGTTGTAAAGGTGCTACAACCAGTTTGGAGATAGAGTAACAAGGTATAATAATTCAATCATCCCTAGATGATACGTGTTTTCGGTGGTCGTTCAGCAAAGCCAACCGTGTGAATTTTCTATGTTTAAAGCTTTTCTATGTTTATCTGGAGTTTAGATTTCTACTTCTTGAGTGATATAATTGGTCAGTTTTCTTTATATGGTTATCTTTCTGATATGGTTATCTTTCTGAGGTAACCGTAAGTTTTGAGGATATCTAGGTACATCTGTTTTTTTCTCTTCGTAGCAAGAACAACGTTATTGGAAAGAATAAAATTGTATCAGAGTGAAGATCTGAAGTCAGATGAACTTCAAATAAGTTTAAGACAGCGATATTAATCCCAAAAGCGAAGTCATAATTCCCTGAGCTCCTAAAACACAAAATCCAAGAGTTTAAAACATGTGAAGACCATAATACACCCACACACACACACTCTCTCTCATGATGTTATTGTGATGATTTGAAATGAGTTTTGGGGAAAAAATTCTAGTTCCCTCTTTCCAACGGCGTTGACGTCGGCGGCGAAACTTTCCCAGCGTTCGTCATCGGCGACGAAGAAAACTACGATCTTAAAGACGGTGATGACGAGTTGCGTGCCAACCCCCTTAAGTTTATTTTTTTTAAATCGATGACTTGAGATTAAAGTAGAGTATGCAAATT